AATGTACTATGTATATACAAATAGCTAGGGACTCTCGACAATGAAAATCGGCTGATACGAATATGGAGGTATTATTGCGGATTACGCATGTTTTTTTTCGCTAAACACTTGTATGAGGTAGGCACTCTTATTTTTGAATAAATTTTAAAGTTCTTTCAAACCTTTTTTATTTAAATCCGTTCAAAGGGTTGCCATGTGTCAAAAAATTACATTAAAATTATTTAATAATCAATGTCATCTAGGGTGTTCAATTATTCGCCTTTTTTCAGAAAAAGGGTTCCGAGTAGTTCGCAATATTGCATTTAAAAAAAAAAAACGGTTTCCGATTTTGAAGTTAAGAAAAAAAAAAGCATACAAACCGACCTTATTTTGCATAGTTTTCATACAGTGAAAATGTTTATGCTGGTATGAGGTCATTTATTAGAAAAAGGCAAAGCAAAAAGAGTTCCAAGTTTTTTTTAGATCAAAATTAAAACAAATGAAATTAAGTGGTTCAATTTCTGGTCCCAGCAACATCATTCCCTCGGCAGACAATGGCAAACCTCTAAGTGTACTTCTGCCAATAAAAAAAGCTGCGGAGAGGAGGTGGAGTAAAAGTGTAGATCTCTACATTTGTGTCAAAACATCAAGAATCACAACACGAATTTAAGGAGAAGCACGGAAACCCTCAAAGAGGCAAACATTCAATTATTAGAATCAAATCTGATATGTTCATGCCCAAATAACCTAGTATATAATTTTAAAAATATTTAGGGGTTTCTCTTAAACTGAAAAAAGCCTTGAAAATTAAATTAAATTCGACTTTTCAAACCCTCTTCAAAATATTTTCAACTTAAGCCTTTTTAAATCTGTTGTGACACATTGTGGTAGTTCACACTTGCCAGGTTATCTGGTTGTGTGGTTATATTTTTTTTTATTTAATTATAACAACAAAATACACTACAGAATAATAACACAGGCCAATAAAAATGGAAAAATATTTTGGTACGGTAATTGTTAAAGCTCTTTTTGATAGACTTTCTTGTGCTGATTACGAACATATAAGTCGAAACAGAAATGACGAAATTTAAATTTCTTAAATATCGATATCATGTCTTGTCGAAATGAAAACGGTCGTCAAAAAAAAGCAAAATGTCGAAAAACCTTGAAACCTTACCACCATTTTATGAAAACGTTTTTAAATTTGTTTATTACAATATTATTAATCATTCGACCTTTTATGATGTATTATAAAAATAGCTCTATAAACTATTCTCTCAGAGAAAGGATATGCCATTTTATATAAACATTTTTATGTAGTTTTCCTGAGCATTTGACACAGGATGTCTCACACATTCAAATTCCTAAGTGAAATTCTATAAACAAAACCAAAATCACTCTTAAATGATCAGCAGTAGCACGCTATTAAGGCATTGTGATCAGATAATAAATGACTGTCAATCAAAAATCAAAATTAAATCAGAAATAATCCGCCATCTATGCCCCAACAACAACAAAGAAGAAGAAACCAAAACTAAAAACAGTCAAATACACATCAACAAATAACATAACCCAAAAAAATGACGGCACGACACAATCGCTCCTTCAAGGATAACATTAGCAAAGCCAAGGCAACAACAACAAACAGAAGAAAAGAAGGAAAATAAAAATATGAAAAGCCTGCTACGATTATGCGCATTGTGGTTTTATAAATAAATTTCTGGTCAAATGAATGCCAAGCATTCAACCAAAATACTACGAATTAAAGAAAACTGCACAAAAGGATCAGCAATGTGCCGAAATAGGGCAGGCAACAGCCAAGTATAAGTTAGAACAAAAAAATCAAAAAAGTGTATGCAGCATTCAAAAAGCAAAAGGAATTATATATTTACTTAGAAAACTCGTTTGGCTTCTGTTGAAATCCAAATCCTGCCAAGCAGCGAAAACTACATATTTTCAGATTCCACGGATTATAAGATCAGCTGACCTTTTTTCTGCCAAATACAAAAACAAACAAACAGCCTCTTACTTAAAACTGACTTATTGCTTAGATACCCGAAAAGGACAACGATTTCAGCTGGTCATACAGTAGCCATAAGTGCAACAGTTTGCTGAAATAATTAAGTCAAACATGATTTTTTATGGTCTAATAGCTTTTTTGAATCAATTAGTATACCAGCACTTAGGCTATGGTGCAGAGGTTTTGGACGAATAATGCGATAAGCAACAGTAGCCAAAAAAGCCAAATATTCGCTGTATATTCGTATGTTTGTAAGGATAGCTGAAGCATAAACTGCTTGACAGGTAATACTAAAACCCAAAGGCGTGTGCGCATCGTATGCCTTATATTTGTGTTTTATACATTTTTTACAAAAGTAGTGTTTAGATACGAATAGATTTATATGTATGCTTGTTTTACAATATTAATGGCTCCAGCAAGGATATAGAAGAAATTCGAAGGAAAATGTATGGCCATCAAAATATCACCATCATCAACAGAAACAGTTGAGGTGTTATCCGTGTGACTTCAGATCTGAAATATTTAGCACCGAACAGGTTTTTTAGAGTTAATAATATCCAAGCAAAGGTCCTAGATAGATGCAACGACACACAACCCACACAACCCACTTTCCGATCTCCTCAAAACATAAAAATTGGAAAGCCCATTTCTGAGTGAGACGTTCGACGTAAATGAGGTTTTAAACAAACCGACTTACTTCTGTATGACTTTTCTGGCTGGCGCATGCCTCGCTATTTTTCCCGTTTTTCCCGTTTTTCTTCAGCTTAAAGAAGAAGGCGAAAGAGGTAGAAGCAAGCCAGACCCAAATTGACTATTGCTATTGGCAGCTTCGAAAATGCAAAGGATTGGCTTGAAAGTCCTTCGCATGAGCGGAAAGTTGGTATTGTAGAGATAAAGATGCAATCAGCTTTATAAAAATAGTTAGCAAGGTGTCAAAAACATGTTTTTGCAAAAATGTAAATTTTAATTCAGATTTCGATGGAATACCCATTCCGTAAAAATATTTGTTCGGAAAGATTTTTGTTGAAGGCGACAAAATCCTATAAATGGGCGCGGCAGGACTACTATCCCTTCGATAATAACATTGTTCCGCGACCACCTTTTTAGTTATTCAATATCTTACTGAAGGACGACAATTTCGAGAGAACATTTTCTATTCTCTAAGTCTCGGTTTTATCAGAATAACAGGGAGTCTCCGCTCGCGCGACGACCCTCTCCGCCACCCGTGAGACGAATTATGGATACAAAAACGGACAGCAGAACAAAACCCTCTGCTTAACTAGAGCTACAATACCACCGAGCTCTCCTGAAAGCCATTAATATCATCCTGCATCCTCGTACGGGAACTCTAAATAAACCGGGTGACCTGCAGCGAAAAGCGTCCAGTATTCTGCGGTAATAACCATCCCATCCAGCGAAAAGCATCTGATGACATTCTGCGAATAGACGGGGGATCAGCTTGATTGACAACGGTAAGGCCAAGGTTTGTACCACAACAACACGATGAATAGGCAGCCCACAAAATTTCGTGAATAATATAAGTTTAAAATTTAACTCTACGTGAATGGAAAACTAATAACTTTTTTGAATCTTCCTTTCGATAACGAATGTGGAAATGCTTACACTGAAAATAAAATTTCGTAAAAGTGCTACGACAAACTTTCGTAGGCTTGGTTTTTATACAATGTACGAAACTTTCGTTCATAATACGAACATATTTTTCACAACGAAACAAGATTTTACGAACCATTCGTAAATATAACGAAAGGACTTTCGTAAGGCATTTTTTCAGTACAATTTACGAAATATTACGTTTATTTTACGAACCATTCGTAAATATATTCATATTTTATATCTTAATATATTTAATAAGAGTTTTGTTGAGTTTCATAATTTAACACTTTGTATCAACATACTTTACTTTATCGAATGAAGGCTAAGCAATAAAAAAATATGTAGTATAGAACCTATTCGTATGCATACAAATAAAAGACTTAAGTTGTATTATAGATAAAATAACCTTTTTTATTAATTTTAAATTGCAGAGTAGTTAGAAAATTTAGGTAAAACTTATTATTTACGACAGTTATACTTGTAATATCTGCACTTCTTTCGTATAATGTATGATTGCTTTCATTCTTTACACTATAAAAAACATAGCTCAAATTATAACACAACAAATTCATTATATTTTAATCATTAATGTTTAGCGTTTTTACAAAAAAATTTGTTAAAGAAAAACGTTTAAAATGAAGGATAAAAACAAAATAAAAGTGTTGTTTTATAATTGGTACTGTGTTTTTTACAGTGTGGTGAATGAAGGCAACCGCAAGTTCTACGAAACAGCCGCAGATTTTAGGAAAATAATTTCGTTAAATATACGAATTATTTTTGTGCATTTTACAAAAATTTCGTAAAAAAATAAAGAAATAGTACGAAATTCTTTACTAACTAGTAAGAAATTCTTTAGTAAATCGTACGAAATTCGTTCGTAAATAGTACGAATGCGTTCGTAAAATGTACTTAAGATCTGATGTCTCATATTTTCGTAGTATGTACGAAAACGGCTTTGTACAATCAACGAAAACTTTCGTGGCTCAAAATGACGAAAATTTTCATAAGATGTACGCAAGTTTTCGTTATATTTACGCAGATTTTATATTCAGTGTAGCTTGTTCTTGGATTCGATACCTAGGCCGTTCTTAGCAAGGCGAAATCTTCGTTGCCCAATGTATTCTACCTAAATTGGTATTCCAAATGCAGGCGATCGTCTACGGAAATTTCAAAGAGAAGGACCGAATTTTGAATTCAGGACGAAGGTAGAATGGAACATTCAGCTCTAGAATAGCCTAGTTCTCAAATCGAAGACCAATCTATTTCTACTTTCAATATGGAAAGTGAGACTTGAAAAATAGATTTATGTTCCAATAATTTTAAAATTTTTAACCAAGCTCAATTTTATTGGATGTTATATTTAAATATTTGTCATTCCCCCGCTCACCTTGTAGTAATCCAGCGTTGAAAAATTCTGATAGCACGGCACATTATACAACATATTTCAATGTTGCACCAATCTCGGCTGCATCAGACAGCGTCTGACAGACTGACAGCTAATGTATGTATTTATTTGCCAGTAAATTATTGCACTAATTGCAGTTAATCGGTGAAATAACGAAAACAAAACACGATGACACTAAAAATTTCGAACATTTTCACACGCTAATACTGTACGCTACAAAGCTGCCGACGGCTCCGGGATGACACAAGTAAATCACTTTGACACTTGACATTCACTCATTGACACAAGTTGTAAATAAATGTCGCGATTTGTAATTGCAATGCACAATAATTAACCAACACACTCGCACACGGCACAGCACAATTGCCAGTCAGTGCCCGGGAATGATGCAAAATAAAAGACGAGGCAAACGCTAAATGCGAACCTTAAGCAGTGGTTGAGGCAATAAGAAAACGCGGCAGTGTCAATCCAGATGGTCAATAAAAATGCAGATGGCAAATCGGGTGGCGTTGGGGCACTGATGGGCGAAATAAGCGCTGCTACCAGCTGCAGTAGAGTGTGGCTGACAAGCAGCAATGGGAAGACTTGCAGATTATGATCGACCACGTTGTTGGCGTTTGTGTTGTTGTTGATCGCTTACTGGCTAGCTGGCTATTGCTACGTGGATCACTCGCGCAACTGTCAGCAGTTAATGATCGTCACGAGTGTACTAATGAGCAATTAATTTGTAGTAAATTTACAAAGTTTAAACTCCATTTTTTTTTTGTTTTAGTTTTAGTTTTGTTTGCAGTTACAACGTCGATTTGCAGTTGTTTTATTGTTATTTTAATTGCTGATACTCAGCACTAATTAACGGCCTGCGAACGTCGCTAATTGGCACAGGCAAACAAGCGAATTAATTAGCGAATAGCCAGATGAAGTTGCATTTTATGTGTCAATAGGAAAATGGCAATTTGTTTGGGGTCAGGCTATTATTTGCGTTTGTATTCCATAGTTAATGGTACATTTTGTTCAGCGTTTTTGTTTGTTTGCAACGCTTATGTACTTTTTCACATGCAAGCGGCGCCGGCGCTAATTTGTGCCAGTACTTTATAGTAATTTACTTTTAGGCTACATCAATTTAAAGTTTTCTCACTTTCAATTACATACTTGAGTCACGGCAATTTTCATTTTGCATGGAATTTTTTGCAATTCATCATAATTGTGTATTTACGCGTTTTAGTAAAAATTTCGCCTTTTTCGCAAATTCAAAAATCACGCTATGCGATATGCAACAAAGTTGCGTGCCAACTGACTCGGTTGCCGCTGCGGCTGCTCAACTCAAGCTGTGTACAGTGGACTTGACAGCTGCTGCCGTTCTTCCAGCCACCACTGCACGCCCAAAAAAGCGAATAAAACTCATTTGCTTTTACCTTGCAGTGGTGGTAGTGGCGGGCGCTTGTTGTTATGTATTTATTATTATTATTATTTTTTTTCACTTTACTTTCGTGTACGAGTATTAGTATGCGTCGCCACGCAACCATACAAATATATCCAATATGTTTCGTGGCTTTGAGCGCTTTTCTGACGCTTTTGCCACTGGCCCAGCCAACCAACCAGCCGGCTGAACTGGCATGGCAGCCAAGTGGCTCACTCAATGCCTACGCTGGGCCACTACGAGTACTCGAATGTATGCGTAAATGTTGAATGAATTTTTGTACATACATTTGGTATCTACTACCTACATATATAGGCACCAGTAAGCCGTATCCAAATGTATTACATGCCGTCGGTGAAGTGGCCGTCTTAAATTTTATCAGGATGAGGTAAATTTGCGCTTTAAAATTTGCGAAGTTTTTCTCGAGAAAATTTAGGAATGTTTTACATACATAATGAATTCATCACCTGAGTGAGAGATCGACCTATCTCGGCAGCGAGTTCGAAAACGCCCTATCTCAGAATTTGGTTTAAAAACGCCCTATTTCAGCTGAAAATACATTGAAAATATGCTGAGATACGGCGATTTTGAATCGGCAGCTGATATGGGTCGATCTTCCACTCAGGTATCGATATATACTTAAGTATTTAATAAAATTTCCTCTATATACTAGAAGTATACTATTGGCGCTTCGCACATTTCTCTTTCCCAATTTATGATGAGCGCTTTTTTTTTGGCAGAAATACACTCGAAGTCTCCGTCGTCTGTCGAGGGTGATCATCTATTGAAGAACAAAATGTTGGGAGGGATAAGAAGACAAGCATGGGCCCCACAACTACCTACACAAAATGTCACTGCCCGTTTTTTAAAGAGAGAGCCTCACAGCATGGGTCTGAAAAAGCAGGAGCTGCAGAATCAGACAACCAGGGAAGGGAAAGAAAATAAAGTTTGAAATTTTAAAATATAACAAGATCCATTACAATTTTCTAGGCTTAAATATATCGACTATTGTCAGCTCAGCGACGGTGGGCGAAAACCAGGAGTAGTGCACCCGCAAAGTCTTTCTGGCTGAATGTGAAGCAGAGGCATTCAATTTACTAACCTAAGCAGAGATCACATGATTTCTACATTTGTACATTTGGCAGTCACAGAGTGGTGTTTTCTAGAAATTTTTAACGAGAATGAGTTCAGCTCACTAACAACTTTCCAAACAACACCACTCTGTAACGGTAAAAATGGACAAATCGTGTGATCTCTGCTTTAAGCTAACAAAGCCGGTGTATCGATAGAACAACATTCCACCGTATTCTCGCTGTCTCAGCTCTTTTGGCAGCCGCTGTGCTGTAGTGGTTAGAAGTGCGCACTGCCATACCGCAGGGTCTGGGATCGAGCCCAGTTTCCGACTGACATCAAAATCAAAAAGCAAAAATAGCGGTCGCCCCTCGGCAGGCAATAGCAAACATCTCAAGTGTAGTTCTGCCATGAAAAAAAAAAACATTTAATTAAAAGCCATTTGCCGTACGTAATTGGCACAAAACTGTGGATCCCTCCCTTCAAGGAAATCTGCAGCATGCAAACCCACGTTTATACCACCTACTTGGTAACAGGGGCCAGATTTAAAGGGTCTGATATAAACCTTCGGACTCTCTGAAGTGATATATTATAATTTAGAAATGTTTTTGTAGTTGTAGTCTGCTAAAACCCTGCCTATATTACCGACCAAGGAAACGAGCTGTTTCGATGGGGTCGGACCAAAGTGGACACATGAAGAAGTGTTTGGCAACCCACGTTTATACCACCTACTTGGTAACAGGGGCCAGAATTAAAGGGTCTGATATAAACCTTCGGACTCTCTGAAGTGATATATTATAATTTAGAAATGTTTTTGTAGCTGTTTCGATGGGTTCGGACCAAAGTGGACACATGAAGAAGTGTTTGGTAGTTTTCGTGGCCCTTTCCCTTACAGGATGCATGTTGCGTATATCGGTGTGGATACTAAAAAAAAATTACTTGTCTCAAAATGTAGAACGCAGTTGGGCGAAGTATAGATCTTCAATCATTATGCCACTCAATTTCTTCACCTAAAACAGGTGGTTTTTGATGCCCGATGACTGCGTATATTATATTTTTATTGTTAATCGACTATTGTTATTGTCGTCTTTCTATAGTTTATTTGAACCAATATATGGCGGACATATTTTTCGACTAGGCCGTTGAGAACCCGGAAATCGCTTCTGATTTGTCATCCGAAAAAAATATTTTTATTAAAAAAAGACAAACAAAGCTCATTTAAAAAAAAGCTTTTAAGATCCAAAAAATTAAAGGAAGTAAAGAAAAAAAAATATTTTTCTTTTTAAAACAATACAATTCAAAATTAAAAGAAAATGAAATTAACTAAAGAATAACAATTATATAAAAAAAAAGAAAAAATGAATAAAGTAAACTTCTAAAAAGTAAATCAAAAAAAATATTTTCCTTTTTTATGAAATAAAATCTAAAAATTTAAACAAAAACATTCACGAAAAAAATTAATTTAAATTAAATGAAAATTACAAAAAAAAATATTCTTTTTTACACAATAAAAACTAACATTTTCCTTTTTTACGAAATAAAATCTAAAAATCAAAAAAAAAAACATTCGCTAAAAAAAATAAAATTTAAATGAAATGAAATTTAAGAAAAAAAAATATTCTTCTTTTTTACACAATAAAAACTAATCATTGAAAAACAAATTTCACTAAAAAATTAAAAAATAAAATAAGTTCTTAAAAATTAAATGAAATGAAAAACTATTACTTTTAAAACAATAACAACCGAACCATCAAAGAAAATTAAATTAAGAAAAAATTTCATTTGAAACAGAAAATAAATAAAAAAAAAGGTCCTAAAAATTAAATTAACTTAAAAAACCACTGTTTTCTTAATTCAGTACACACATTAACATTTTTGAGTTATAAATGGTGTAACTAAACCGACTTTGCTTTATATATAAAGATTATTGACGACTGAAATTTAGCGCGGCGATTTCTAGAAACATATTCCTGGCCTGATTCAATTTTAAGTGATATTAAACCCAATTCTCTTCTTTGTAAGGAAACAAGGGGTAACAGGGTATGATATCGCAGACTTTTGCTTAGCTTAGATTAGCCGAAATACCAAATTTGCTAATTGTCCCTAAATCCCTTCCACGAAATGTATATCCTTCTTGGAAAACGGGAATAGATAGCTAAGCTAAGTCACACATATGACAAATTTTGCATAATATACAAACAAACATAATCAGCCTGATGTCCTCATAAAAGTACACCTCATTAACTCTACACACTTGATTGGGCGCCAGCCAAGAAAACTGTTTTTTTTTGTTTTTGTTTTTTGCTGCGCACCTTTTACTTAAACAAAAACATATTCATAAAAAAGAAAAACAGAGAATATCCAAAATTCAATCACAGCTTATAGACAGTTCAACAACTGCTGGTCTTTAAAATTGTTATTCAAACCTTATAAATAAGAATTCCAGCGCAGCGAAAACGGCGACGACACCATGGCGCTCCGACAAAATCAGTCAATTGTGCAAACTTAGTCGATGGCAATAATAAAAAAAAAAAAAACATAAAACACAAAACACAAAAATTAAGTTAAATACAAAGAAACATGGTATCAGCACGCTATTAAGACTGGGATTAAAACGAGTAGACAAGCAGGCATACATGTGTACATACATATGTAGGTACAAGTGGAGCATGTCCGAAAAATTATATGAAAAAAATATACATACATACATATAAAAACGGTGCTTGCAAAAGTACAATAACAAAAATAGAGTTGTCATATTGTACCACCTGAAATAAAAATGAATTATATGTATGTATCCCTCTACAGCAGCGTCGTCAATAATGTGGTTTGGCTTGTCTGCTGATTGACCAGCGTGCCTGCATGCTTGGTTGCCCAGCTGCCTGACTGCCTCTAGCCGCTGGTTTGGCGACCTTGTTGCCAAACCAACACTTTAGACTGCCAAAGCAGGCTTACTTTCCAACTGTCTCTCAATTTACTTTCTTGCTTGGTCGAGTGTAGAAATTTTGGGAAAATTATCTATTCAAGCAAAAGAATTCAATGAATTGCAAATTTATTTTTTTATTTATTTTTTCATTTCGGACTATTGCTGCCTGGGGACAGCTGAGCTTCTCTCACAAAAAATTGTGTAGGTTGGGTAATTTAATTTGTGTAGCAAGTAATACACTGAAAAGAAAGCGGATCGATAGACAGGAAGTTTTTGGTAATCTATTCAAAATTCGACAAAAGTTTCCGAGAAAAAAGGGCGTGAGTACCAGGTAGTCATGAAATTGGATGTATAAACATCTGTGTATGGCTTGGCAAAGCATCACTGTTACATATGTACATACATAAATAGGTTAAGGTAAGAAATTAAATATTAATTTCGTTTCATTTTATTCATTTTGTCTGCACCAGTACACGGCTTTTTTCATAACCCATTCGGGAATAGTTCTGGACTATTTCGTGACTAAATTCGAACTACCCCGAAATTATCCTGAACTTGTCCAGAAATGTTCCTAAAATAGTCCTGAACAAGAACTTGTCCCGAAATGAGCTCGAACAAGTCTTGAAACGGTCCCGAAATGGTCCCTTATTAATCCCAAAATGAACCCGAAATGAGCTCGAACAAGTCTTGAAACGGTCCCGAAATGGTCCCTTATTAATCCCAAAATGAACCCGAACTAGTCCCCTAAATGGTTCCGAACTAAACCCAAAATTATTCCGAACTAGGCCCGAAATGTACCTGAACTAGTATAGAAATGGTCCAGAACTAGGCCTTAAATGGTCCTGAAGAGTTCAGAAACTAGTACCGAAATGGTCCCAAAATTATGCCAAACTAGATTCGTAATGGGCCTAGTCGTGAACTAGTCCCTAAAAAGTTCTGAAAT